GAGTTTTTGTATTTCTCTCTGATCAAAATGAGGCCGTTGTGGCTGTATCATGAAATACAGAAGGTATGATATGAGATAATACTGATTAACAATAATCAATTGAGAAGGTTTCAAGGACAACTTTGAAAAATGCATAGTGGTCACCCCTTCAGATTTGCTAGATAAACACATAAGAGATGGCTAAGAACCAGGTGAGTGAAACGTACAGCTGAATTATTACCATGAAAATAAATTTGCACACCAAGCAATCTGAGGGCTGGTTGGCAAGGCAATACTATGAAAGAACAGGTAGTGGCTCATGACAGTAAATTCATGAATTCCTGCATTTAAATTCAAATAACTCTCACAAAGTGTATGGCCAATAATGGTTGCTGGTTGGTTAACCAATGCACACAGGGGCTGATATGTTTACGTGCTATACAAGTGAAAGGAAAGCCTATAATCCTGACATACATTCTTAGATGGCCTAATGTTCTCATCTCTGTCAATTACAGCTTGACAATGCACACCCATGAAAGGATTTGCAATATTTTCAAGAAGTGTTTACTTAACAATTGGAATTCTGATGCATGCATAAATATTTGTAAAGAACACGTCATTCAAATTGTAAAAAATTGCAAAGCTAGTGGAATTATTAAGTAACGTTACTGCATTGCATCATTTCAGTCTAAGCTAACCTAACCTAAAGTATGATAGCCTATGTGTGCAGTAATGTTTCAATGACAATATTTTTTCCTTTCACAGTTATGCGTTTAATATAAACTGAAGAGAAGGAACATATGAGTATCAATTCGGTGCCTAACACATACAATACTTCTATATTATTCTTGTTTACCATATGTACAGAGTCCTTATTGCAGAGGCTAGCATTGCTGACCTAAGCAAACATTTTCATTCAGTTTAGTGGCATTCACATAAGTGTATGGTACGGTGGGAAAATAATAAAAGAGAAGGTCATCTTGGCAGAACTGTGAGACATTTAACATTGCCAGTGCAGTACCAAAAAAGGCACTCCATTGGGCAAGCCTCCAATTAAGGGGACACTAAAGAGAAACAATGACTTGGATTACATTGACAAACCACAACTAAGAACTATAATGCCATATGTTTCACTATCATAAGTTTGTTACTAGAGGAGAAACTCAAGGTTAAGTTTTGTTTAAAAATTTCGCTCCTAATCTCCGCGCACGATGTTGGAAATTGCAAAATGCCTTTTTTGTATTTTCGCGACATTGGTTGAATAAAATCATCTGAAACTTCGTATGCAATGTCTATGGCACCCACAGATGACAATGTACTTAGTTTTATCGATTATATTCTACATAGGACTCACTAGATGCCTTTCAAATACCTGACATAACAGTGTTAGGTGCAGGAATCTCAAAGTGGTGTCTCCACCTGCATTTGCTTTTCGCACATTTTCTTACTTACCAAGCAACATCTGCCAAAAGAGTGGTGTATTCAAGATTGTGATATTGTACTTTACAAATACGCAAAATATCGTCTTGCTCTTTAGTGTTCCTTTAAGATAGTTATTGGTGCTACAACCGTATGCACGCAGGCTGCATCCTATTTTAATCGATCGTAAACAAGCAAGAATATTGTCGGTTGATTGAAATGCAATACTTGGAATGCATAGCTGTTGGATGGGTGATGGCGATGGTGAGAGTTTTCGCAATACACGTTGAGTGCATCCAGTAGATGACCATTCAGTCACCAGTTCTTAGCAGCGCCGGCGCAGTGGTAGGCACCGTGGCTTCAAGACAGTGCGACTGCCATGCCGCACAGCGTGACGCAGGTAGAGCTGGCGAACACACATCATGAAGGATTGTGTCACTGTGCCGGTGCAACCAAGAACCACAAACTGAACGACTGTTTATTGGATGCAGTAAATGTGCATCACAAGCCTTCACTTTCATCATTCACCTCGCCACCAGCACCCACATCCATCAAAGTCATCTTTCAATTGCCGAGCGCTGAACTTTTTTTATCTGAAAAGTGGTGCCACTGATTATAGGTAACTTAAGTGAATTGTCTGCTACTACAATCAAATTTCCTTATAACAAAGTTGAACTTTACATGAAAAATAAGTTCGTTATATTCGAATATTTGTTATAAAGGTATAATTTTAACACAAAGCTATTGCAAGACTATTTTACATTTACTTCATGATTAACCGATGTTACGGTATATCCGGGTTCGTTATAGTATCATGGTTTCAGTGTACTACTTATTCGCTTCTTTTGACAACAACACGCTTGTCTATGCGCTTGAGAGACATGAAGTGTGAGTAGCAAGCACAACTTACGACCCATAGTGCTGTTGCCTAATGCATATTTAGTGCAAGCACTAAATTAATTTTACTCTAGACACTGGCTGAAATAAATTTCAATTTGTGCTTCAGAATACAGCTCCACACGAGTACAATAAATGCTTGAATTCCGAATATCCTGAATGTACAAGAGCGTTTCTGTTGAAATTGACTTTTCCAGCTTGCAAGTGTCCCGACGTTTTCATGGCTCTTTTCGGGCACTTGTAATGTGTGCGCAAGTATATGTGAGCATACCTCTGTGTTTATACGTGCATAAAAATTATAATATGTTTGAGCATTAGCAAGAACATCTCTTGCGAGTGCTTCTTAAACATTCTTAAATAAAAATTCTTAAAATAAAATTTCTAAGTTCTATAATATGTGCACATAAACCTCAAATAGGAAAAAAAAAACATTGGTAAGAACAATAGCAGTATAGTCAAAGCCACAGTTGTGAGTAATTACGAAGTCAATAAACATAGATGGATGACAGAGCCTTTATAATGACAAATAGTGATGAAAGTTTAAAGTTCGTCTTCTGGCAATTATGCATGATACTATCAGACACTTTTCTTAATCTTTTTTTTCAACATTAAGCATAATAAAATGGTATGATCTAATCCACATAGTAATTAAAATTAAACTGGTTTGCCCTACAGCGTCACCATACTTTGTGCAAAGCTGTGCAGTCTTGTTTTTTTTTTTTACGGGAATTTAAATAGTAAGGATGCATAGCATGCTTGTAAAACACAGCAATTTTTAAAGTACAATAAAATATAACTGATCAAGCGATGAATGGTTAAAAGCCGAATTCAAGCAGTCCTTTAATGCAAAAGGGCAATGAGAAGGTTCAAGCACAATAATAAACAGTGATCGAAAAAAGTTCCTTGAAAGCTTGCACATACATAACACAGAGGCAATAAGAACATGAACATAATATGAAGAGACCTCAAATCGTTCACAAAGGATCACAAATAAAATCACTAGCTTTACAAATGAAGGAATAGCCCTTAACAAATGAAACATTCCACGGTATTTCTGACGAAATAATTGGGCAACTATTTCATTGTGGAACTTTTAACCGCGGGTGGCATTTCGATCCTGTGATGTTCAGATTATCATTCAGATGTAATGTTCGTTGTCCACCTGTGACATCAGTCCCTCAATATCTGATGACATGCACCTAGGAAGAGAGAGAAAAAGAGAGGGACAAAATATTACCAACAATGAACAAAACTGCAAGCAAAGTACCCAGGCCAACCCCGCGCCAACAAATATTGCTGGTATGTCAAATACAGTTTTGAACTGAATTTGAATTTTGAACATGATATTGTCGGATAGAACTTCAGAAGGCATCAACATTATTAACCGGAAAGTAGGTGTACCCCTATTAGCACCATCAGGCACTCAACACTAGAATGACACCATGAGCACGATGCAGTGCTGTTGAAGGCACAAGGCAAGTTTTCTCCCTCTATCTGCCATTTGCTATAGCTTTCACATCGGTAGAGTTTTACAAACCAGTCATGAAGACATAAAGTCTTATTTACTGGAGGCAAAGCCCACCTCTAAGCTAGCATATTCGCTGATGTAATGTGTTACGCAAAATGTCGAGGTCACAGTGACTGCATACCCCCCTTCGGGAGAAACCGAGCAAGTAGTATACAAAGCTTATAATTCCGTATGTGGCACCATTTTGATTATGCGGAGATGTTTTCTTGCTTCAGGTAGGTGCATGATAACACTTGAGGGAATTGATATGCATTCACTGCCTTGGTTGCCATCTTACATGGTAGGCCACTACTTAATGCCGCTGTACCGGATATATGCAACGAAACCTAGTGTCAGTGTTCACATGTGTCCGTTTAGATAAGAAGCTGAGTGAGGCTTTGACTGTCTAGCTTAGTGCCAGTGAATAGTCATTGGCTATAATTAATTTGTGCAGCCAGCACTTCTGCGGGAAATATTTGGGATGTCACAGCATTGAGTTGCGATAATTGGTTTGGAGCAGAAAGTGCTCAATTGAACACATTTCCGTGAACACTGATGCTTTTACTTAACAAGCAGGCCCATTAGTTGCCCATTACCCGTCACCTCAAGAACTTAGTTGCTTTCCTTCCATATGCAAGTAGACCCGCCTCAACCAAAGTTAGTTTCTGCAGAGCTGCACTTGTTCCTATAAGAAACGTGTCATGCTTTTTGCATGACAGACATTGCCACCAAAATTGCAGAAGTATTTGCGAAAGAATGTTGTGTATTAAAAATTCCTCCGATTAAAGCAAGCCTCCAATTAAATTACTGACCATAAGGAGAGCCTTCGATCAAGGCCCACTAAATAGAAACAATGACTTCGGTTAGATTGACAATCTGCATGCTAAGAACTCTAGTGCCATATATTTCACTATCGTAAGTTTATTATTAGCAGAGAAAATCAAGGCTATGGTTTAGTTTTTAAACTTCACACCGAAATCTCCGCACTTGACATAAAAAAATTTCACAATTTATTTTTCACTTTATATACATTGGCTTTAAATGTTTCTGGAACTTCATATGCTAGATCTATGGCACTCACAGATGACAACGTACTTCTTTTTATCAATTAGAAGCTACATGGTACACCTTCCAAATTTATGACGTCATGGCGTTTGGTGCGGGAATCTTAAGGGGATGTGTCCACCTGCATTTTTTTTCACGCGTTCTTTAGACAACTAAGTGTCGTGTCGTGGTAAGACTGGTGTTTTTGAGATTATGAAATTGTACTTTATTATTTCCTAAAAAAAAATGCTTTCTTCTATAGTGTCTCTTGAAGGCAAAGAAGCAGTGAGAAATCGTTCAAAAAGATGACTGATAAACATAAAATGTGACACCACTCCAGAAGAAACAACAACGAAGCATCCAAGAATTGAGAAGACAAAAGTGAATCTACCACATTACACACCACATTTACCATAGCCACACAAGTCCCTAATGTGTTGACTAAATTATCTTCGAACAGCATTGATATCTGCGCAACAAAAACTTGCTTGAGTACAACTAACCCTTTGAGGGTTAATTGTAGTCAAGGAGTCAATTTCAGAGCGCTGGCCCTGATTTTCACGATCCTGGCCGCGGTCTTGGCCGCAGTGCGGTCGCCACAGTCAAAACTCCATCCCACAACCAGCAGTCACGCATCACAACCACTACAACACCGCGCTTTGGTCATCTGAAATCTATACAGAAAGAATAACACCCTGCCATTGATGAATTATGCCTGGAAAAGACATCTCAAGTTAGACTGTCAGTGGGCCCAAGGGTGAGCACCCCGAATACTGTGACATGCACCAAGCCTGTTCTTTAAAAGCATTTCATGTCTACAATTTCTGTATACTGCGATGCGAATTTGCAATGTCATGGAATACTGAATGCACGAACCCAACCGTTTCCATGCATGTGCATCCACTGCAGTGTTGTTCCTTTGGTTCTTGAAGTAAGTATTAAACAGCAAGGTTAACAGCCCAGAATAGTGGCACCATTAGCCATTCGTAAAATGGTCTATGCGTTGCAGATGTGATAGTGATGGGCCCTTCGACTAAGGCTCGCAAGACCTTTGCCGAGCTGGTGCTGATCTCACCGACGTGCTGGCATCCTCTCAAGAGAATGTTGCAGACTGCTGTGTTGATTGTCCTCCAGGAGCCTGGTCCTGAGGCGATGAAGAGCAAGGTTCCCGAGGACAAGGTCCCAGCAGTCATAATGCACTTTGCCAATTATTGTTGACATCAGTGAACAATTCATGTCAATAACGAATTGTTGAAGTCAATGAGCAAGAGCTATTTAGGAGCTAAGGAGCACGTGAGACAAGGGTTTCCTACTCCTAAATCTTCTACATTTTCTTGTTTTTTTTAAGGGCTGAGTGACATACCGATTAAGTTTCTTCTCTCATTTTCAAGAAATAATCAGTTTGAAATGAGGAATGCGAAAAAGTTTTTTTTTAAGCTAAAAACAGAAAAAAAAAAGCTTTACAGAAGGTGTCTTCTAAATTTTTAATACTCAGAGTACTGTTCATGTACCATTGATAAAAACATAAATGTGATTACAAGCATTCCTGATAAGGTAATCGATGACATATACTAATTGAATACATTGCAATCTTCACCCAATAATATACATTCCTTTCCAAGTGTCTTAGAGCTTCCTTTGAACAGTGTCCACATGTGGGTCAAGTTGTATAAGTAGTAAATGCATTAGCTGGTGCTTACTTCAATTAGAAGGTCATCACCAAAGTCATAATTGCAATGGTAGCAATGACTATTGGAGTTCTACGTTCCAAAATTATGATATGATCATGAGAGACGTACGTGGCAGTGGAGCACTCCAAAAATTTTGACCAATGGGATTCCTTAACATGCACCTAAATCCAAGCATACAGGTCTCTAGCATTTTGCTTGAACATTATATATGCCAATAAAGTCAGTTTGTTTTCCACCTGATCATAGGAGCTTATGAGGAGATCCGAGTTGAAAAACTTGTTTTTTCCGACAAGAAATATTTTACAGCGATAACTTTTCAGGTCACGCGCTGTTGTTGTCTGCCGCCGCCACCGCCAGTGTGCGTAACCACATCGTGCGAAATTAGAAAAAAAAAATAATCTTGCACCAATGACACAGTGGGGGTTGAACCCAGGTCTACTGCATGCCAGCCCAATACCCTACCACTGAGTTACGCCGGTGCTTATAACTTGTTGGCAAACTTGCCTTAGGCAGGCATGACCTAGCACCAATGGCACAGTGGGGATCGAACCAGGGTCCGCTGGGTGCCAGCTCAGTATTCTATCACTAAGATACACAGGTGCTTGTGACTTGTTGTCAAACTTGCCTTAGGCAGGCTTAATGTCGTGAAAGCAATCACGTTAATACAACTTAAAAAGCATTTTACAACAGCGAAAGAACAACCAGTCATCGCACAATGCAAATAGTGTAACCAGTGGGCCGTCCAATGCTCCAAACCTTCACAAAAGCTTGTTCTTGTTCCCCTATTAACTGTAGCGCATACCCACTTCAGGCATAATTCCTCATTGTCCTTAACATGTTCCCTAACATGTGAAGAGTGCAAGTATCATATTTAAAATTTAATGTCACCTGTATAACGAACATAGTGTAAGCAATTAGTATGGTCTGAGAACTCTCAGAATTCTCACATTACAATTTTACTTGTCCATTAAAATGTCTGATAAGCACTTTCTTGATACTTATTGTATTCGACAGTTAATGTGGAGTGATATGAGCTATTAATGGCTCAGAACCATAAAAGCTCAGTGGCATAAAAAGTTTGTCTAAAACAATCTATACTTTACAGATTGCCAAGGCACAAAATTTGAACTATGCAACTTATATGAAACTAATTGCATATTTGAAATCAGCATAAAAGCCTACACATACAGAAAAACTTTTATTGCCCTAGGCTACAGATTAGTGAAACTTCTTTTTCAAATCCCACTTACCCTTAATAAACACTCGATAACTTGAGAACCTTCCTGTAATACCCCTAGTACCACGATGACAGTGTTACGACATTAAGTCTGAAAAGATTTGGTTTTCTTCTTTATTCCACTGAGAACACTTTTTATGTGATGTGTCTAAGAGCACGTTTAGACCCTTAATAACCTAGCCAAACACCTCGAAAGCAATCATTTGAGTTTAGAAAATAGGTTGTCACCGCATGATTATGCTCACAATATGACAAGGCTGGTTACTATGCAAGCTTTCTTCCCGACTCTTTCTCCCAACCTTTTAAAACTTCCATCGGTAACAATGAGGTTCTCAGAGTTTATTTGGTGAGGGCGAGTGCATGGGGCTGAAAGCTGCTCAGTTAAGTGTCTACATTTAAAGACAGCCTGCCTGAGCTCCTGAGGAGACGACAGTCGAATTTGAAGAGATGCTTGAGTAGCAAGAGGTTATTCTAGACCACTTAGATTGAAATGCTATGGTATTATAGTTGATCATAAAGTTCGCCTTAGAACGATGACACTACTGTCAATCACATGGGTACGTATGCCACTCAAGATAGTTCCCATTCGAAGTGTATGTACAGATTGAAGCATGGATACTAGGGCAAGTTGGTAGGACATAACTGAATATATAAACAGCTCAACTTAAAAGTAGTTACCGTGTAACTATGGAAGCGGAGAAACAAGGATAGAAAAGAGTGCTGACTTTCAACAAATAAAAAAATTCACATGAATCAAAAAGTCAGCGCTTTTTTCTATCCTTCTTTCTATGCTTCTATAGTTACACTGTAACTACATTTAAGTTGCGCTGTTCATATATTCAGGTATGTACATTTTATTTTGGCAATGTAAAAGCTAGAAATGCTGGGAACTTAGATGATTGCGCTTCCTGTGATAAATATTTGTTTGCTGTTCAGTGAAGCCAGAATTTGAGAAAATTATCAGGGACATTCTTATTTTCGACCCAACATCAATAACATGAACGTAGGCATGTATGGCAAAATCAACAACCTTTACCACCGAAAGCCTTTTACCTGAGAAAATTGGCCAGTGCAATGAATGCAGCATCCATGCAAATTGTCTTTGAGTGAGCAAATAATGGCCGTGATCAGATCTTGTACTAGCATAAGCACTGCGTGAAACACTTTGCAGTATTCTGGCAGAGTTTGAAAAATTCAGACAAACTTCGCTTTATCAAGAGATAAAGTGAAGTCTGTAAAAACTGGAATAAAAATAAAAGAACATTTAAAATATAAAAACACCAGGTATGCATGGAAGGCGCAGCACAGTCACAGTGAAAGTTAGAGAAGAGCGGCCTTTCAGAGCCTTTTCTAAACATTGTGTAACTACTGCAGGCATACTTCCTCGATGCCCACTACGGCATTAATAATAAAAATTTTAAGGTAGTGGGCTGGCATTCGCTATGTAATTCTTCTGAGAAGCGTGGTATCCGCTAAACTATTGCAAAGAATTTTGTACCAATTGTTCATGCTATGGCTGATGACGATGAACAATCATGCCTGAAGTGGGTATACGCGACAGTTAATAGCTGAACTTTTTTAAAACAAGCTTTTGTCATGGGTTGAAGCCTTAGATGACCCACTCGTTATGCTATTCACACTGTGCATCAACTGCTTGTTCTTTCGCTGTTTTAAAAGGCTTTATAAGTCGTAGTAACGCGACTGCTTTCCCGACATCAAGCCTGCCTTAGGCAAGTTTGCCAGCAAGTCCTAAGTACCTGCGTAGCTCAGTGGTAGAATACTGGGCTAGCACCATGCGGATCTGGGCTCAAGCCCTATTTTGTCATTAGTACTTGTTGTTTTTTTTTTATTATGCGCGAGCTATGATCTCATAACAGCTTTTGCTGTCATATTGCTTGTTGGAATTGGATGTCCCAAAACCTCGATATGACATCATGGTGAAGAACTTTTGAAATAACGACCCCCAGGGTCTCTTTTTAACATGCACCTAAATCTAACTACATGGACATGAAGCCTTTTTACCTCAATAAAAAATGCACACAGCTGCTGCAGCTGGGATTCTATCGCGCGACCTGCAGGTCACAAGTCGAGCACCATAACTGCTAAACTACTGCAACTGTTTATCTAGAAAAGGGATGAAATGTTTTAAGCTAAGAATTGTACATAACAGAGTCGTCATGCCACAGGTTCGTATGCAAAGACATGCAATGATATTAATGTGTTACTTTGGACACATGAATTCTATTGAAGCAGCAGATACATTTGAGTTCACATAAAAGGAAAAAATATCTGCATAAACAGTGCCTCGACGAACTGAAATGTGGATGATTTTCTTTAAAGTTTATAATCTTTAAGGGCGTCAGCAACATTTAAGTTAACAACAATTATCTTCAGTCATATTATATGGATGCAACATTTTGCTGCAATCGGATGAATGGTTTCGGAATAATGGTATACAGAATCAGAAAAATCACGAGCACAGTTATGACTTTGTGAATAATGAATGTCAGTGTTCACACACAACTTGACAAGTGTAGGAAAAGCCATTTAGCTTCTAGCTTCATTGCTGGCAATTCCAAAATCATCCACAGGTACTTTTTCAGTCTTTCCTTGCATTTGGCACAGTACAGGGGTGTAGCAGGTTTTTTTTTTTTTTTTTTTCAAGATTCAACCAACCTTTGCGTATGTTCGTGTGTGCATATGTGGGCATGTATAGATAAACATGCAAAATTTTAGGCTTTCGATGAAAGGGAGGGAACTGCATCCCCCCCTCCCCCAACCTGAAGAAGCTAGTGGAGTCACAGAAGTTAAAGTTTGCAAAAATATAAGTCCACATGCGAGTAAACACATTTTTCCACCAAGCCGCCTCGACCACTGAACTGCCGAATACTTTTTTCCCCATTCATCAAATTGCTGCTTTACCTTTCGTTAATTTCTCCCATTCTCTCAACCTACCACAGATCATACAATGAAGCACGACATTCCCGGAGTAATTTTTGAGAAGCCCTTGCGATGTCGGGGGCCTTCGCTAAAAACTGGAGGGTTGAACGCAAAACTAAACTCTTTGTTTGAAAAATACTTCAACTGGAAGCGTATAACTTACACAAGTATCGAAGGGCTAATACAATACTACCACGCTGTCAAACAAGCTGCTTATCCATTCTTTTTGCGACATCACAAAACACACTGGGAACAACCCTAGCAACATCTAGAAACAGCCCCTTTCTTCTTTTTTTCACGCACACACACACAAAAAAACAGTTATTGTAGCTTTTGTATCTACTGCGTTGCCCGAAGTGTGCCCGGCCCGGTAAGGAGACAGATGCGCTGATCACCCTCACTGCAGACGCCACCACATCGCGTCGCACATGTATTGTGTCTTCCGAGATCACTTTCCTCTTGCTGCACTTTTCACACTCACGGAAATCTTCCTAAAGGCTGCGGAAGAAGCTCGAGTCGTGCACGCGTGCTGGCTGCATCGAGTCCCAGCCGATCATCTCACCGGCTTTCGTGATCGACGCTCGTGCCGGTTTCTCGCCGCTCTTCTAGATAAAAGATACCTCAGAACGCTCTCTTTCCGATCATTTGGTGGACTCTGCCAACAACCGAAATGAAGCTACGCAAGGCCGTGGTACGCACGCACGGCGAATACCCCAGAAAACAGCTGTTCCGTTGAGCGCAGCAAACTTGACGCTAGACGAGAGTCAACATTTACACCAGTCAACGCCGCACCAGGACACTTGAGTGAGAAGGCCATAGTGGCCGTAGTTTATTTTATGTGTGTTTATTCCTTCCTCCATGAGAGAAGGCGTTGACTAGAGTGACCTCACCCCTTCACTGTAACGAAACAGAAACAAGTTAAAAGGGCGTTACAATTAGCACTTTCATGAAGAGGAACAGTTCATGAGAATAAATATTATTTTCTTATGAATTAACAAGTCAATTACAAAAAAAAAAAACGCACTCAATTTTTTTCACGTCAAAGCGCAAAATTTGAATTTATTGAATAGTGGTAAAACAGCAGATGAACCAGAGGAACATGTTTTGGAAATTGTAGTTGTAGTAGTAGTAATTTTATTTCAGTCAAATCTAGAAGCCGTCCATTTCGACCATCTGAGCAAGCAGTCCACGCCAGTGGCGTACCGACTTGTTCGCGAGTTTTTGGTAGCAGTGCTTAATGACATTACTGAAAGGTACACCGAGTTCTAGCATACGCATACAAACACACATTATGCACATGAGAGTACTACAAGCAACACATCTTATTAATTACCCCTTTAACTTTATGAATGAATACAATTATGTCGACGGCAGCCTACTTAGCAGTATAGATTTGTGCCATTCAATGAAGTTTTGTTAACCTCGAAGAGCAGCTCACAATTATCGCATTTTTAATGTAGGTAGCCATCACTGCAAGTTCTGGTTCTCAGCATTAGTACTACACTTTCTTGCACATATTCAGTTTTGCATATACTGTGTTTTTTCTTGTTTGCTCCAAGTGTAATTGCTGTTCCTAAACATTACTAATATTGCTAATTTGTAAACCACAAGTTTTTTTCTAATAATGACTAGCAGTATTATAGCTGCATAGTACATTCTTTATACTCATAATACTTGTATTTCAAACTTTACTTGGAGGACCCTCCTGCTGCTTAAAGTAAATATGCATATTGAAATGGTGCAGGCAAGAACTTTCTTTGAAACATTGTACGTGTATACCGCATTGTCACCTAGCATATTGTTTTCTTCCACATTGGTATATCATTGGTCTAAATTTTGTCGGTCATGCAAGCGGCACCTGCTTGTAAGCGACGTAAGAAATGGCCACAGAGTGATCCATCACGCGATGGCCACTCATGCACATGAGAATACACTGCTTTCAATGCAAAAACTGGTTCTGTGCTATTTGCCAAACATGTTCAGTGGGCCATAAAATCATGCGCTTGTAGTACACGTCACAAATCTGCAAAATCTCGTGGCGTTAAAATGACGTGTGCACACCTATCAGGGCATTCCTATGTTGAACGATACCTATGCATTTTTTTAATAGTCTGACAGCCCTTCATTCTGAGGGTAATAAAAAGTGCTGCCGACCGATTCCATTGGCAGCGGCTACTTTACCAGCTGGCGATGTAGATTCATATGAGTACAATAAATATGTTCAGAGTTAGTATAACGATATTGAGCTGTTGGTGCACGTATACAACTCATTGAACACATCCTTGCTGAGAGGAAGGGAGAGAAATGAACAGAGCTGTGAAAGTGTGCTTCTTTCTCTCAAGAGTTGTATTTTCCCCGTACAAGTCAATTCGAGATGACTCAAGACCAACTAGCCCGGCTGTCAACTTGATTGTTTTTATACAGAAAACTGTGGACTTTGACTATTCTCTTCTGGTAGATCAAGTTGCTTGACAAGTTTGAAAGGTGGGCCCATAACGTACTCAAAGTCCACTGCCTTACTCCTAGCCTTGTCACAAGTCACCATCATCACTCCAGACTAAATCATAATAAAAAAAGAGGAGCAGATTAATCAGAAACCAACAGCAGAAACCTTCTTTAACTCTCCCAATGTGGCCCTACTAAAACACTCAAAACCTCTGTACACTGACAAACTCGTAGCTGTATGTATCGAGCAATGGTGCTGTTTCTTTCTGATGAAAGAAAATCAATTTCTTGAAACAGGAAAAGAATTTTATTGGCGTGTAAAACATTTACCTGTACCTGCACATATTCGCGACATAAATTGTGTAAGTTTCTGGCCAGGCAGGGCACAATAAACTTGAAGGAGTGCTCTAAGGTTAAAGAGCCCCTACTCAGTCATAGCCTTCTCTGCACTGCTGCACTGCAAAGCGTGACAGTGTCGCATAGGCACTATGCATTGCACGGAAAAGCAGCGCGTGGTCGTGAGACACATATAACACAATTTCAACAGCAAAAGCGCAGGAGATATTTTTCTTGTATAATTCAGTGATTGCTGTGTAGAAGTAAAACTTTGACTGAGTTGATGGTTCTTTAGTGTGCAGGGGATAGAGAGCACCGAGGAAAGTGATGGGGCTCCATCCTCCTATCTTTCCTTAGTGGGAGGGCTAGCCCCCTCGATAGATACATCTATGGTCAATGCTGTTTTCTCCCTTCATTAGAGTGTACTCTTCCTTCAGTGCTTATCCAGTTGCGTCAGGTGTTCATGGACAACTAGGACTGGGGTGGTACAATGGTATGCTTCCATCACCACGTAGGTATTCATAGAAATAAATGGGGAAGGGTAAGAGCTTTGATTATTTAGCAGTAGTTGGGCAGTGGAAAACTGCAGTTTGACAGGTCGGTTTATCAAGAGGGGGCAATTGGGGCAGCAGGGTCAGATCTATATATATAGATATATATGGGGAAAAAGCTGTTGGGTGCCAATGCATTTGGATGTGCCATATAAAGCGAGCTTCTAGGACAATAAGTGATGAATGAGGGGTTAAATAGAGGCGCTTCTTTAGCAAATTATGTCAGGCATCTAGAGCAATGCTCTTGCACTGAAGTGGTCTGATGTGCTGTGCAGCTCCAACTTCAAGACACAAGAGTGAGAAGTCCAGCGAGCTTGAGAGTTGGCAGTGAAGCAAGGCTTCAAAGTTCCCTGTTGGGAGACCTGAGGCCGGCTTGCTAAACATCGCCAGACTTTCAGTACAGTTATTTTCATCGATTCATGGGCCCGGGAATGAACAGTGACCAGTGCAAAAAAAAAAAAAAAAAAATCACCGCTCTTATTTGCACAAATGGTGACGGTTGTCCAGAGAAACTGAAGGGGCGTTATTAAGCTTCTCAGCTCAAAAACTTCCGACAACACAAGAGACGAGGAGGAGCACAGAATTTCAACTAATTAATTACTAGGACAATGCACATATATATGTTACAAAAAAGACGATAAGATTACTTGCTCAAGCAGAAACCAAAAAACAAAAACACACAAAACCAAAAAGTAAAAAAAGACTGCAAGAAACTACGTGCTCACATTGGACCCTCACGTGCCGAATTTAACAACGCCAATTCTTTTTCAGATAACGCTACTGATGCCTGAATATATCTAGGTGTGTCTATCCGTTATTTCGATGTAACGGATCCAGTTTCACTGATGCTGTAAAGGAAGAGCAGCCACCAGACGAAGAGCGTCCGATGAAGCAAAGAAGCACAATTTTCTGAAGCAGTTTTGGAGAAAATGGTGCAACCACTATTCTACCGTATACCCAGCATATAGTCTGTTACGCAACGTGGCAACACATTTGGCAAACTAACAATACCATCACTGCACCATCTTGAAGATCTATTTGTACATGCCATGCTGTCTGTGCATTCTTGTGGTCTTCCGGAGGTCTCTATATTCAAGTTGCCATACGCATCTTGGACACAGCATGTGCAGAGAGTTCTTTGCGTGTGCGGCAAGAGCATAGACCTTTAACATGGCAGCGCTGCTGCTAGTGCTCCTCATGAATGACGTTAACTGCATACTGCCTACAGCTCAGTCATCTGTGTTCTCAGTCATCTGTGGGTGCCCTATGTCAGTGCCTGATATGGTGTTGCCGATACCATCACGCATAAAGTAACAATTATGATTGGCATTATGATTGACATATTGACAACAGCACTGAAGTGAGTAAACCCTATGCGCTCCACTTTCTTTTATTTAGTGATTATTCAGGAAATTATTGCTGCCGACCATTGGCGAGTCGGCAGGGTTTCCTTTTGAAGGGCACAAACCGGTGTTGCATCGAGGTGCGAGGAGGGAGCACTGGTGAGGTTTGGGTACGGGCAAGTGCCCCTTACACCCTCTAAACATGCACATTACCAATGAGAGTATACCTGCAAGCGATATCTATACAAGTAAGAAAATGAGGCACATCCAACTTATGAGTCTGTAGTTGAACCAAAGAATACCACAAATTGAGAACTGTGTTGCCGTACTGTTGGTGTTGCTCAATTCTTCGGACATAAGCGAGCGTGATGCACCATTATCACAGGAGGACTGTTTTCATCATCAACAGAACCAAGCACTGCGTTTGGGTCGTCACCCAGCTTTCATAGGATTTCAGACTGCAACTTTCTGTAAGGCAAAAGCCTTGTGCCTCATATTGATGTACCTCTGTCTGTGCTCTAGCACGGTGCCAGCTATAGCCTCTTCCGCTCACACTTTCTCGGCAATCACGTGGCCGCGCCAGTGAATGTTGGTGGCATCAGTGCAGTGGACTATACAGCACTCGCATTATGGTAGCATCGCGTCGCTGTGCCTAACGTGCTTGGCAAAAGTCTATGCGCATTTCCCTGAGCAACGTTTATAGAAAAGCATCTATAAATGTAGCCCCTGAGAGTGTCACACAGAAAAAAAATGGGTAAGGTAAGGCAAAGTTAGTTGAATGGCTTTCGCCGAACACACTTTAGAATGAATTTATAAGGTGTCCTTGAATTTTTTATTCCATGGCATGCGACGGTTTTCAATGTTGCACATTCATTGGGGAGGAAGAAAGCAAGCCATTTGATTAGTTTGTTGAACATATCTTCGTTGTTGCTACCCACTGGGAAACATGGCCCAACGTTTTGGAACGTGACAAGCCACAGCGACAAAGTAGACTAGGTGATTTGACGTAGCAAGCACATTGGGTGCTCATTTATCAGTGTCACATGTGATGTTTGGCCACTTTTATAGGTCTACACCATGCCGCAGAGTCGCAGTCGCTGAATCTGATAATCAAGAAAATTTATTTTTCACGCTGAAATCATTTCCTTGTGCTGCTGTCTTGCACAAACATTCTACGATCAGGCACTTTCTGTGCAAAAAAAAGAAAAGTTGCCTTTCATTGTTACTTCGCTTAAAAAGTCGAATTTCATTTTAACAAGATTTGGATATAATGAAGTAAACTGCCTATTTTACAGACTTTGTTATGGCCAGATTTAACTGTATTTAGTGCACTAGAAGAGGTGACGTTCGACCCGTACAAAACGGATCTGCCAACCATGGCAGTTGTCCCTTGCGTCTCTCATTTTGTTCTCCTACGATCCCTAAAACCAGCACAAACAGCACTGGCAGCAAACAATGCTCCCTCTTGGAAGACACTTCAGGGCCTTCGCATAATTTAGGGTAATGGGATAAAAGGAGAGGTGGACAAAGGGGAGGAGCTCGATGTGATGGCCGTCAATGCCCTGCTTCGCACGCACTGGCGAGCAGCCGCCACGCGCTGGCAATCTTCCGACGATACATCCAACAAGTCTAAAGTTATAAAATATGTGAAATGAACACGGTTTTCCCAGACAGTTGCCTCTTCCGAGTGCAATGTTGGTGCTTTCGTCATTTACTTTTTATATGTTTGTTCAGCATACCTTTAAACTAAACTTGTGAAACACCAAGACAGTTCTACACAATAAACAGGAAGCTCTCAAATATAAACTAACTAATCAAATCAAATAATTTTTATTTTCCGAAAGAGCTACAGAATACAAGGCTGTTATGGACAGCTAGACTACATCAAAGATCCTTTACAATCAAGGCACATGAAAGAGACTAGACAACTATTACATAAGAGGCACAAAAGAAAGTGTATATACAATATAAAGAGAGTATATACAGGATGCCCCAGCTATCTTTAGCCAGAGTTACAGAGTACATGACGCATTGTATAAGGACGCCACCGAATACATTTTGCTTACTACTGCTTGGAGCAAGTAAGTTCTGAAGCTACAAAGCTAGCCAAAAGTTCTACGAAAGAAAACTGTAGATCAGTTATTAATATGTCTAATTAGACAGTTTCACCCACAATATCTGTTAATGAATGGTGTTTTTTCTGCTTACTACAGATGCCCATTAAATACAAAAGACTCCGTGACATGCCTACTTAAGCACCGTGATTGCAGGGCTCCAAAATGTGCCGCATAGGAACGATATGCTTCCCTAACGGAGTTTCATGACAGCGATGAGCAGACGCAGAGGTTATTGCTTGTGTTGCCGCAAGGAAAACAGGTGTCATTGAGGCAGCACACATGGCCTAATGGTATGGTCGTCTTCACACGAACCGCTACAGAGCACTGCAATACTGTATGCAAGCGGGCATGCCATGTGGTATTTTTGTATTTCGTTGGCTGTGGTAAGCAGAAAAACACTAATACTTAGTAGGTAGAAAGTTATAAACTGTCTAATTAAAAGTTTTTAAAACAAATCTACAATTTTCTCACCCAGCTTTGTTGCTTGCAAAGTTAGTAAATTAAATATGCTTAACTAGGCAATCAAGGACACAAAAATAGTTTGACGTACTTCAGGCAATAGTCTTGGGTCATCATAGGGTGCCTCGGTGCATTTCTAAACTGGCTAGAGATAGCTTAGGCACAGTTTATGTATGACATATTATTACTGTCACGTATTATTACTGTCATTGCTGTGATCACTTATATGAACATCATATACACTTTCACATCTTAATAAACGTGCAAAAGAAACATGAACACCTAAAAATATAAATAAAAGACATGTGCAAACACAATAGCAATATTTGAACAAAAAAGGAGTGAAATTCCACAGAATTATTATACTAATGTATCATTATTAGTACATTGTATCAAACAAAAACATACTGAAAACCAAAATACATTATTATAAAAATAGATATTTTTGATATATTTTTGAAAGGAATTTGAGTTCCTATAAAAAAAAGCTTGCCATGTGACTTCTGGACCATCGGCAAATTGTAGCATCCAAATTTCGAAATAGTCAGAACAGAAATAAGATTGCAAAGTTGAAAACATGCACATTTTGAGTTTTATTAATATTAATAATGATGGCACACAAATTATACTGATGAGCAGCAATCTAGGTTGGTTACATGTCGTTTTGCTTTTCTTTGTAGCATTTGGTGTTTCACTTGGTTAGTTCTTGTCATGGTAGAATGCACCAAACTACAGTCATTTACGTGCGACGGAAAGAGAGCATAATATATTTGTACTTGCAAATTCATAGAAGACCGTTGAAATTCGAGCAAACTGGTTGCACGCTAGTTTGCTTTTCACTTCACAAAAACCGTGCGAGTCCTCATTTCGAAATTACTGGATTTCTCATGTCATTAGTTCTGGTTCACTATACTTCCTGCAGTCATAAACCACACTAATTAATTATTGAACCACAAAATGAGATTTGTTTCGTACTAACTGCAACTAGAGATAGACAACAAACTTTCTTTAGGTCCACAAGTGGAAATAAAAAAAATTATAATAAAGGTAGAAGACACAAGACAAAGACCATAATACCGTGACAACCTCGATGCTTGCATTTGTCAGAACACAACGTGAAGATCTGCAATGGTCCACGGGCGCACCTACAAAATCCTTACGATGTGTAAATGCTAGAGCGTTAGTTTTCACTGAGATTAGAGTTCTGGTAAAGTGCTGCTGATCGTATAAAGTGTTTGCAAAGCTGTGTTGGTCATGCCATATTGATTAATCAGTTGATTTGCTCTTGCAAGTTCTTTGCCTTCTTGCACTCTACTACGAGGCTGCCATCTGAAGATCTTCTCTGGTTAACCCCTTTTCCTTACCCCTCTTTCTAATACCTTTCCAGTGGTGTGAGCGAGGTGACTAAACATCGCACACACACACACTCATGTCGTGTGTGATCGACTACTCCCTCCACTGCATGGCAATGCTCAATGCTTTTCATTGCATTCATATGGTGCACATTACATTCTCGAATCTCTGCCCTCACTTCTCATCTGCTTCTTCGGTGTCTAATGAAGGGGCATTTGCATGCTCACGAAAATGCTGATGCCTGTGTCTTCTGAGACTGGAGTTATGCACAAATGTCTCTGTGCATTCAGGGCATTTATACGGTCGCTCGCCCGTGTGGGTGCGCAGATGATCCCTCAATGTAGACCGTTTCGAGAAGCTCTGGGGGCATGTGTTGCACCTATACGGCCGCTCACCCGTATGAGTGTGCATGTGTTCCGTTAACGTTTTCTTCAGCGAGAAGCTCTGAGAACAACGGTCGCATTTGTATGGCCGCTCGCCCGTGTGGGTGCGCATGTGTTCTGTTAACGAACGCTTTGCTGCAAAGCTCCAATCGCACTGATCGCACTCGTAAGGTCGCTCCCCCGTGTGAATGCGCAAATGCTCCGTTAGTGAACCCTTTATGGTGAAGCTCCGAGGGCATATGTGGCACTTGAATGGCCGCTCACCTGTGTGAGTGCGCAAGTGTTCTGTTAACGTGTGTCTCGTCGTGAAGCTCCGAGGACACACATGGCACTTGAAGGGCCGCACGCCGGCGTGAAGAAGCAGATGTTTTGTTAATGAACACTTTAGCGAGAAGCTCTGAGGGCATTGGTTGCATTTGTAGGGTTGCTCCCCTGTGTGAACCCTAATGTGTGTTTCCAGACGTGACAATTTCGTGGCCTTATAGTCACAGAAATCACACTTGTAGCGGTGTCCCGGGTCTGGATCCTCACCATCGGTAGCTGCTGGACTGCTGGAAGGTTCCAATGCTGCACAAACCAAGTTGGGCGGATCATTGAAGTACAGTGCACTCTCAGTGAACCGAAATGGCTTAATTGAGAGTGCTCCTTAAATGGAACAAATGCTTCTAATATGATTGGTTTCGTGCTCAAAGACTTCAAACCTGTTGATCTCTCTGTAAACGGAACTACCATTAAATGGGATATATATTTTGTAGTCCCTTCAAGTTCCGTTCAACAAGAGTCATCACTACTGCTTCCTAACATCAAGCCATGTGGTAGTATACAGACCTCTATACGAGTTGTGCAGTATAACATGAAAGTAGCGATTAGCTTAAAACCAGCTCAGTTTCTCCAACAACTATATAAAACTAAGTTATCAAAAGTTTCTGTATTTCCCTCTGACCTAGATGAGGCCATTGTGGCTGTAACATGAAATTCAAAAGATATGACGCGACACTAATGCTAATCAACACTTGTGAATTAAAAATATTTTGAGGACAATTTTGAAAAGTACATAATGGTCACTCTTTTTAGATTCACTTAATGAACGCATCTGAGATGGCTGAGGACAGCGAGATGCACAGCTTACTTGCTGCCATGAAAGTAAATTTGCATACCAAGTAGTCCTACTGCTGGAGTCAAACACACTCAAGACAATACAAAAAACAAACAGGATATTGGCTTATGACAGTGAATTAACAAACACCTGTATCTGAATTCAAACAACTGTTACACAGTAGACAGTCAACAATGGTTGCTGGTTGGTTAACAAATGCACACAGGGGAAGATATGTGTAGATGTTGCGGAAGTGAAGGAAAAAAAATCTATAATTCTAACATACGTTTTTCGATAGCCCAATCCCCTCATTTCTGTCAATCACAGATAATGCATACTCATGAAAGGACTCTCAATATTTTCCGGAACTGTTTACTAACAATTGAATTTTTAATGTGTATGCAAATACTGGTAAGAAAGACATTCAGATTGTAAAAAATCGCAAAGTAAGTGGAACTGCTGTGCAGTCTTATTGCATTTTATCACTTCAAGTACGATAGCTCATCTGTGTAGTTATATTTCAATGACAACATTTTATTTTTGCAGTTATGGCTCTATATGAATTGTATAGAAGTAACAGAAGTGTACAAAGCTGGTGACAAAGCTACACATTATATCTATGTCATCCCTGTTTAACTTAAACATGTACAGAGTACTTATTGGAGAGGCTAGCATTTTTGGCCAAGGCCAACATTTTCATTCGGTTTATTGAGGTTCAAAAAAGTATACATCCCAGTGTAGCAAAAGAAAAGGGGGCATATTATTATCAAGTGCTGGCAGTTCAATACCACAATCAGGCACTCTGTTAGGTAAGTCTTCGATTACCACAATTATTGGCACCAGAAGCGTATGCATATAAGCTGTACCCCATGCTTAAGGGAACGACAACTACCCACAACATGAAATGAAATGACTCCGCTGATGCAAAAATTGTCCAGTACATCGACTCAAACCAACCCTGCTCTTTCGTAAACGATGGCTTTACATCTTCATTTCTTCATTGAAAGTTGCGAAAAATGCCTTGTGGCGACTCTAACCGCAAAAACGTGAATGATCTGATGCACCTGACTATGTGACCGTTGATTGTTATACGCGGTTGACAACCATTTGGTTAGTATTGAAATATTATTCATTTCTTTGCACCAAGAGATATTACTCCGAAAACCTACATATAGGCCTGCAATCCTACTATGCATTAAAATGGCGCTGCCTTTCTGTGACGTAACGATCTCATGCTTGTCAGCAGGTCATGAGCAACTTTCCATCGGGCTCATGCAACCGTGCACAGAGTTTGCTGGCCGCTGAGACTTTGAAGCGATATAGTTTGGTACCTACACTTCAAGTCAGAAATGTCGTGCACTGCTACTCGACGCAGCCACGCATATGTGCATATACCGACGTTTTCAAATACTTGGCTCGGCTTGTGTTTTGAGAGAATAACGATGCCAGAACCAGCCACCCATGACTTGGGCAGAGGTGTACACAACGTAGTACACACACAGGAAAAGTGTGTAACGCCACATCATGTCATCGAAACAGCTTGGTATTTTCAAAGCTAGTTGAAAAAGCTGATAATAAAGGTGGCTGAGCATAGATACAAAGCTTCTGTGAAAGCATAATGAGGGCTTTCAGAAAACCCGAGAGAGGCTGGCGGCATCGTTATTAATTTTCAAGTTACTGGCAAAAAGGTACATCCTTTCAGAAAAAAAAATACTGGTTGTAAAATTATTATGTGCTTTTGGGATTAACTGCTGCAGCTACAAATATTACAAAGAGAGAGATTTTTGTTGCACAAAAAAAAGGGGTGGGTGTCAAGAAAAATCAGTCACTAGCCCCTTTATAATTGATCAAATAGGGCATTAACAAATGACAATATTAGGCCCATCACTCAATTTCCTTTGCAACATTTGGCATAATAAGAAGTTGCATTCTGATATACAATTTTTAAAATTTAGTCTGCGATATGGCGTCAACACACTTTAGACAGTCCTACACAGTAGTATTTCCTCTTATTCCGAGCATTTAAATAGGAACAAGGCATCAAATGCCTCTAAAACTCAATAATTTACAAAGCGCAATGAGGCATAACTGACCAAGCAACGAATGGTTATAAGCTGAATTGACGCAAAGTGCTTCAGTGCAAAATGACAATGAAGAAGCTAACAAAAGTCAATAGAAAAGAAAAAAAAAGCTCCATGAAAGTTCGCAAGTACATAGCACAGAGGCACCAACACAAACATATTATGAAGAGACGTCATATCATTTATGAAGCAACACTATCAAATGGACTAGTTGCACAGATGAAGGAAAAGTAAGAAAGATATAGTCCTTAATGAAAACATTTCACAGTCTTTTTGTGCAAATACTTGGGTCCTTATTTCCCTGCACAGCTTCTGGTCGTGGCTGGAATTCGATCCTGGAACTAAAAGAAAGGTAGATATCACCATCCACTTGTGACTTCGGAGTCTTCTGATAGCTGATCACATGTAGCTAGCAGGGAGAGAGCGAAACAGAATATTACTAACAATAAATAAAACCACCAGCAGAATAACGAGATCTACAAATATTTCTGGTATCTAAAGGGCAGCATTGAGCTACCTTTGAATTTTGAATCAGCTATTATAGGATACAGCTTTATAAGGTGCCAGCATTTTGTACATGAAAAGAAGGTGTACCTACTTCTGCTCCAATAGGCGTTCAACACTGGAATGACATGATTTTGATGCACAGCGATTGTGATGCACAGTCGGCAGCGCGGGGTGAATTTTCTGCCGCTGTCCAGCATGTCCTGTAGCTTTCCCATTAGAAGAGTTATACGAACCAATTGAGACATAAACTCTCATTAATTGCAAGCCAGGCCCAACACCGAAAAAAAAAAAAAGGTTGGTGCGACGTGCTATGAGGAATCATGCGATCGTAACTGCACCGTCTGTTTCGGCAAAAACCAAGCAAGCTGTAAACGAAATTTTTTTTAGAATTGCATGCGGTCAGTCTCGATTATGTAGGGTGGTTCTCCTGCTTTACGTCGGTGCATTATAACACTTGCCTTTGAAGGCATCTTACATGGTAGGCCAGTGCTAGATGCCGCAGTGTTGGATGTATGTAATGCAGCCTGGTGTCAGCGTTCACATGTGTACATAGGGTAAGCAACTGCGTGAAGCTTGAATCATCAAACAGAGAGGCAGTAAGCAGCCATCGGCTACAATTTGTATGTGCAGCCAGCACTTCTGTGGGCACTATTTTTGTTACTACTGCATTAGGTTGCGATATTTGGTATCCTGGAAGTAAAATGCATTACCATTTTCCGAGCCTAAAAGATGGTGCTCGTATGAAACAGTGGAATTCCGTAGTATACAGACAGGATAACATCGTGAAGTTGATAGATTATGCCATAAAAAGACCTCTTATGCCAAATGTGTGCCCATGGGTGAGCATTTTGAAATGCCCTCACATGCACCAAGGCCATTCTTTTAAAACATTTTGTGCCAAAGACTTATCAAACTGCTGCTTAACTGTATATATGTTCAGAACTCTTGAAGCATAAGCAAAGGGACATTCCCTTCACCATTGTAAAGAAAAAAAAAAAGGTGCTTTTCAGTTATTTACCTTTCTTAAAAACCCAAATGAGTGACATTTATAATAGGCTACAGTATGACTTGTTGCCTAAGGTAAGTCAATCAAAGATGAAAAGTTAGATGCGAAGACGCACGTTAAGAACAAGGTTTTCTTGGCTCGAAAGATGCAGGTGCTTCTTTTCAGGCTTGCCGAGAGACATACTTAGTAATTTTATCTCTCACTTTTGTGACTTTATGAGTTCGAATATGTGAAAAGCACAGTTTTTTTTGTAACTAAAGAGAATTAAAAAAATCTTTTAGGTGTAAGTTGCAAGTTTATTTTTTTAGTGCTCAGAGTCTCGTAAATATTGATAAAAAAATAAACATCATGCTGGTGCTGCTAGAAAGGCAGCAGTTGACATTTATTTACAAAATGCATAAATTTCAAACTTTGTAATGTCCACCCAATTATTACATTCTTCACTATGAACTTCGGAGCATCACTTAAGTCGACACATGGGTAAACCTGCATAGATAATAAATGCAGCTTATGTCTAGGAGTTAGAACAGTGGAAGGGTGCCACGCATGGTTCTACACAAGACATACGAGTACCACGACTATGAGTTGGTGAGTGAATGTTTTTTTTTTTATTTTCGTATATTGCAGCGTGAATTTACGAAGTCATGAAATGGCAAGTGCCCTTACAGTACTGTAACACTGTTCATTAGATTTTAAGGGAGAGAGAAAGAGAATAAAATGAAGGAAAGGCATGAAGGTTAACCTGAAATTGGAGCGTCTGGTTAGTTACTCTATACCAAGGAAAGAAGAATGGAGAATAAAGATGGGAAAGAAAGCGAAGAGTGAAATAGACGCGTAAAAAAGAAAAAAAAAGTGAACGGGGGTGCTATAGCCTATT